TTTCACTCCCCATTGCACATGACCAGGCGTCATATCAGAAAGCTTCAGATTTCTCTTATTAACGGGTTTCGAGCGTTCAATGAAGCTCCACTATCAAGCTGAAACACAATTATCAGGTCATCCCATAAGTTCTGTCCGAATTTTAACTTTTTGTTAAAATTAATGAAATTTAAAGAGTATTTTATAATGTCTAATGGAGCTGAACATTATTTTTATGTTTAGATGCATTTAAACTGATCAAATTTTATTTCAGAGAACAATAAAATTAAATTTTGTTTGATTAAAACCCTGCTAACATGTAAGTACACAAGAATCATTTGAGGCACATAATGCTTTATGAGTTCAAGAAAGGAAACTCAGCAGCTGAAGTGGCTAGAAACATTCACTCAGTTTATGGAGAGGAATGTGTGAATGAAAGAACTTGCAGAAGATGGTTTGCAAAATTCAGAGGTGGAGATTTCACCCTTGAAGATGAAGATCGAACCGGACGTCCAGTTGAGTTTGATGAAAAGCTTCTTGAAGCAGCCCTTGAAGAAAAACCTGCTTTATCAGTTGAGGAATTGGCAGTGGTTCTCAGTTCAAACCATACAACTGTTCATCGTCATTTTCAACAACTTGGAAAAGTTCTTAAACTTGGGAAATGGGTGCCTCATGAATTGTGTGAAAACAACCTCAAATCCCGAGTTGACATCTGCTCTTCTCTCCATTCTCGCCAACTTGTTTCACTTTTTTTGGACAGACTTGTGACTGGCGACGAAAAACGAACCTTTATCGAAATGTTAAGCGTCGTAGATAGTGGCTTGGTAAAGGGGAAGAACCCCAGCCACAACCGATATGGGAACTTCATGGGCAAAAGGTTCTTCTTTCAATCTGGTGGGATCGCCAAGGAATAATCCACTTTGAATTCTTACCACCTAATGCAACAATTAATGCTCAAATATACTGTCAGAAATTAGAGCGTTTGAACCAAGCTTTGAGGAAAAAAAAGACCTGCTCTAGTGAATAGAAAAGGGGTGATGTTTCATCAGAACAATGCGCGACCCGACACAGCAAGAATTACGTCACAAAAGATCGAAGAACTTGGTTGGGAGAAAATTGCACATTCACCTTATTCTCCCGATCTTGCTCCTTCAGACTACCATTTGTTTCGTAGCTTACAGAATCATTTGGAAGAAACAGCTTTTGTAACACAGGAAGAGGTTAAAATTGATATTTGTAAGTTCTTCGAATCAAAGCCAAAAGAATTTTACAGTAATGGAATTAGTAAGCTTGTTAATAGATGGAAGGATGTCATAGATAATCAGGGAAAATACATTGTTGATTGAATCTGTAATTAAATGTAACATTTGGTCATTTGTTTTCTTTATTCAAAATTCGGACAGAACTTATGGGATGACCTGATATTTCCCCGTTCAACACTGTTTTTAGCTCGAATTGTCCCATATACAAGGCTGCTAGCTTTCCCCTCTGTTACAACCATATCTACGTGCTCAAAATCCGACTGACAACAACTACTATCTCCACTCAGTTGTTTAAATCCGTTTCGTCCCCGACTTTTGCTTCAGACACGTCTTTCCATAAACTGGACATTATTCATTCCCTGGTTCATGGCAAGAAGTACAGAACCGTCATTCTTTTCTGAATTTTGATTTTCTTTACAGACTCTTATACGTCTTCGTAGCGACCATATGCACTTGTTCCGTTCTTAAAACTCGAGACTGTTGAGCAACGTTCTCCATTAGTTTGCATATGTCAATGCCTCTCTGCCGCTCTAAGTCTCTCACTCTTAGCAATTCTTTTTGTGTTTGGAGGTTCTGTATGAGCAAAAGAATTTGGTCACGAAGTATCGACGCCTCGAAGTTGTCTCAAAAGACATTTTTTTTTTTTTTAAGTAGTTAAAAAAGCTTCTACGCTCTCGGACTCTTCTTGTTTACTTGTGTGAAACACTAAACGTTCCAACGTGACATTAGTTTCACCAACTGTATACCTGTCGTACCCTTCGAGAATTTCTCCGGGTGTCTACTGTTCGTTGGGTGTGGGGAAATGAAAACCGCTATACACCTTTAACCCTGGGTTAGGTTTATGCATCATCGCCCAGCATATGGAGAAGTGAAGCTGTTTGGTCCTGTCATTGTTGGCTGTGCAAATATGTGATAACGGCATAGTTATGCAACTTCTGCCTGCATAGTCACCAATTTTCGGCTAAACTGGCATTCAAACATCTGGACTGAGGTGGCATTATGCCTGCTAATGATCGCTGAGCATGTATTGCATTTTCATCAGGCTACGCTATCTTTTCTTAGACCCACGTGGTTGGAATTTTGACAATAACAAAACAAAGACACAAAAATACATATCTGTTTGTCGTCTACTGTTACGTTTTCCTTTTACTTAGTGTACTGTTACCAAGATGTTCCATACTCAGCATCGCCTATCGTCTATATCTACCGACATTCGACCACATTAATTGATATGTTCATCTTCACAGTAGTTCCTGCAACGTTGAACTGCGCGCAACCGGACATCACATGACGGGCGTCCCATGAAACGTATCTCTCTCTCTCTCTCTCTCTCTCTCTCTCTCTCTCTATATATATATATATATATATATATATATAAAGAAATATACTCTTAAGGTGTCGTATATTTATGGGATAAAAATGCTCAATATCAGAGATAGAGCGTGTGTAAATATAAAAGTGAACATCGAAGGCAACACTTAGAGGCGACAGGCTGTTTCATGCTAAACGCAATGGCCTGACGATTGCGTCTAGCATGAAATATCCTGTAAGTGTTGACTTCAATGTTCACTTATATATATATATATATATGTGTGTGTGTGTGTTGTGGATTCCGGGTTGAAATCCGGCACCAATAAATAACAAACACCAAGAATGAATATATGAAAATAATGTATTAACGTAATAATACAAACTGGTGAAGGAGGTTAGTAGTTCCAGGAATACGGGTTAGTAGCAAAATATATATATAGTCTTTGGTATTGAAGTATCGCTGTATGACTTCTTACTGAGTCTACGTGCTCACTCACTGTGACTTCTACAACGCGGTTACCTCACCCCCTCACTCTTCCAGTTACCTACAACCTTTTACTCTGTCACTCTGGACTCTTCGGTCTTGCTCTCTCGGGTATTCACTGGCAGTAGTATATGTATACACTGGGTTAGTCCATTTGTATAAAACAATATATATATATATATATATATATATATATATATATATATAAATGTATATGTGTGCGAGTGTATGCGCGCCCGCGTGTATGTGTGTGTGTGTGTGTGGATAGAATCAAATGAATAAATATAAATAATTGTACGTGTAAGTGTTCACATACATACGATCAACGCATAATTCGCCTGTCAAATTTGTTGTATTTAACCTGTTCTGTAAATTGAGATTTACATTCATTTATTTGTGCTTATTAACATCTAAAAAGCCTCATCATACGGGCATAAGATTCGGAGAAATGGATAAATATATTAAAAATTTATGGGGATACGAATAATTTCGTCGTTGCCTCTATATACTTATTGTAATAAAAACAGTGTTCAATGCTAAATAACAGACCTATTAAGTATATATTAATAAAAATACATAATACAATACGCCGACAGTACATTAAGTATTCTTCAGAACTATATATATATATATATATATATATAGATAGATAGATAGATAGATAGATAGATATTCAAAGACTGAAATAGATCTATAGAGAGATAACAGACTACAATAGGTGATTCACATTATGATATATAGATAGATGAACAGACTTAGATAGATAGATAGATAGTTAGATAGATAGATAATTTATTTTACTTAACAGAACTAAAGTCTGATCTGAAATGTTGACTGTGATTAATATTCACTTATGAATTAACAACATTAAAAGAAAGGCGTAATAAACACTTATTATAAACCCTCTTTCTTCAATAGACTGAGAATTTATTGGCGTACCTATATATATATATATATATATATATATATATATATATATATATATATATATATAATTTGGTCTTTCCTTTTTAAAGACAAAACTTTCAATATTGAGTTAATATTCGTGAGTGATTTAATCGTTTGAAATTTAATATTTGGGCGAGTGATTTTTTTTTTATTTTACATGGGAGGTCTGTCTGAAAAGTAAGGAAACTGGGTGTGCTGTGTCAGCTATGGCCAAAAGAGATAAGCGGATTGTGTTATCATTTAATATATCTTATATAAGTAGAGTATATAACTGTAATCTTAGCTTTCTGCAACCTTTGCATTTTTTTTTTCACATGCGAGAGTTGTGTCAGGACAAATCGTAGCTACTTCACCACTACGATGTTCCTGCTCACAACGCCCTGAGCATCCGGCTGTTCCTGACTGAGAAGAACGTCGCCGTACTGGGACAACCTCCCTATTCGTCTGATTTTGCTCATTTATGTCTTTTTTTCTATTCGCCAAGCTCAAGGGGATCATCAAGGGGACCCATTTTGAAGGCGTGGAGGACATCAAGAGGGCCGTAACCACGGATATGAGGTACATCCAAGAAGAATTCTTTCAGCAGTGCATAAAAGCGCAGCAGAGAAGGATTGAAAAGTGTATTAGACCCGGGGTGGATTACCTTGAATGGGAAACTGTATTTAACCGTTAAAAATGATTGCTTGATTGATCTGTTTTAACGGTCTATCAACATTTTCAGTTATCTAATTTATGTAATATATGGTTTCTTTTGTTTATCGTTTCACTCCAGGCAAGATGTTAATGGCAATAGGAGACAGGGTATTACTGGGAGTAAAAGAGCATGAGAATACTTAAGTGATGAAAAATTATATTGAATCAATTGTTTGGTCTTTTACTAGAAAAAAATTTTCACTGGTTCATGCTAGACAATAACAGTTTATCAAATAGTTGGGATTATTTATATCGATAATTAAGGAGAATAATATATTCATTAAATATATCAATTAAGACCAGAAAAGCATTTATTTCTTTTTAATTCTCAAATGCGATAAGAATTTCTTTCCAACTTAATATACGATAAATTAAACCGGCCATTATTGGGTAATCATAAAGGCGTGCTGCCCTTGCACGATCATGCAAGACTACCTATTGTTGAAGGTACTCAGGAAAAGATTATGCCACTAAATATGCAAGTTTTGCCTCATCTTCCTAATTCTTCAGATCTTCATCTTTTTACTCCATGACAGCATTTTTAAAGGGAAATCACTTTATTAATTCAGAAGAGGTTAAAACTGATATTGAATGTTTCTTTGTATCAAAACCTGAAGAATTTTACGCCAAACAGATGGGATTATGTTATCGACAATGAGGAGAAATATCTTGAATAAAAAAAATATTAGTTGAGAGCAAAGAAGCATTTTTTTTCCATCTTCAAAAGCGACAGGACTTTCTTTCCAATGTAATTTTTTGTTTCTTTGTGTTATCTCATTCCTAAATATACGTCTATGTTTCTCAGTGGAACTTTAACCTCCTTGAGACAATTTGTACCTTTCTGTTAACAGTAATAGGATTCATATTTAGTAAACTCTGATTTCTGGCTTTCAAACTTTTTATTCTCAACAAACACGGTATGTAGACAAGAGGATCTTTATTCATCTTCCATGGAAAAAATAAATCCTATTTGTATCTCGGAAATCTGATTTGATGTCATGTCAATAGTTTTCTCTCTTTACGTTTTGAGAACACCTTATTTGAATGACAATAGTCCCCTGGACATCAAATGCAAACAGTAGACGCCAAACTAAATATAATTCTGGCGCAGGTTTGGAACAATATCAACGCAGATACTTTTTTTTATTATTATATGGTTATAAAGGGAGGTAAATCAAAAAAATGACTGGAAATTTCTCTTCTTTATTTTGAATCAGAATCAGAGATGGGATTAACAAAATCTGGAATGTTCTTTGCAAGTATTTGTTCATATAAGCCATTTATTTACATTATTTACATTATTCGGACTGTTGTCCTAACCTTCATTGCCATGTTTACGATGTTTCGGTCGCTGTAAGCTCCAGCGTCATGAAGTCATTTGAAGACACATGATCCAGTGGATAAAAACGTTGGTTGGAGCCAATGACTTGATCGAAAGAGTTGTGAGTTCAATACCTGCCTACAGCTGAGGTGAAGAAAAACTTAGATGGTTGTGTTAAAGGGAGATAACTGATACTGAGACATCCGATTGAGGCATAATATGCAAAACTAGAACAATCTACTCCGGTGGACGAAATAAAGAGTTCAGTTCGAAATTCCAATCGCCTGAAGAAGTCCAGGGCACACAACGGCCGAAACGTCGTGAATATTCCAACGAAGATGAGAACAACAGTCCAGATAATGTAAATAGTGTAAATAATTATAATACATCAGCTCAGAATTATAGAAGCCATTTGTTAAATCTTAACGCTTATATTCAACCTTTGTTTCTCTCCTTCCACCCTTTTCTCGTTCGCACATGATTTTCATTCTTTTTTTTTCTCAGCTTTGTTTCCTTATTTCTTTCTTTTTATTCATTCTTTGGCGCATTTTTTCTCCTTCTAAAGCCATATTTTTTCTTCTTATATTTCTTTCCTTTGTGTTCCGAATAGAGATTTCGTTTTCCCTTTCATATTAATTTTTTTTCTTTTTTCTTTCATTTTTGCTTTTCTCTGCTTCCTTTCTTTCATCAACTACTGCCTTCTATTTTCTTTCTTTCTTTCTTTCTTTCTTTCTTTCTTTCTTTCTTTCTTTCTTTCTTTCTTTCTTTTTATACAGCAGTTTCGTTTCTCCTTTAATATTTGAAGTTCCTTTTTCTTCTTTTGTTCACTCCTTTGTCTTTCTCTTTTCCAATGTACCTCTTCTTTTATCATCATCTAGAACATTCTTTTCTCATTCCGTATATGATTTTTCTTTCCTACTGCTTTCTTTCTTTCTTTCTTTCTTTCTTTTTATCTGCTTTTCTCCCGTTTCCCGATTACGCCATTATTTCTTAGTTTTCCTGCCCAAAACGATACATTCTCCTTCTTTAGTTACGCTGACCTCTTTTCATGGCCTAATCTTTACTGACATCGGACTCGTCTTGTCCCTCGACAGTCATTTTTAAGTTTCTCCTCTTTCTTTCCATCCGTCTTTTCGGTTCTTTCCCCCCAATATTTCTCTGTTATCATTACTTTTCTTAGCCTTAAAAAGAATTAGAATTCTTACAAATCTCTCTCTCTCTCTCTCTCTCTCTCTCTCTCTCTCTCTCTCTGTCTTATTATCGCTGCAAAGGTCATCTTGCGACATGCTAGTGCCAGTCTCCCTGATTTAACTAAAACCTACAAAAATCTCCCAATCCTAAAGGCACAAAATTATGTTTCAAGGTCATAGATAAAGCAACTCATTACTTAATATATATATATATATATATATATATATATATATATATATATATATATATATATATATATATTGGTGCATGCTCGTGTGGTTAGAATATTCGCTTTCTGACCATGAGACACGGGGTCCAAATCTCACCATTGATTTGGAAGGAGCTGTTTTTGTTTAGAGGGGGACGATCCCAACGTGTGGCACCTTTGGAATGTGCCTGAAAACCATAATATCGGTTGAACCAAGCCTTGTGAGCGAAATTGGGTAGGCGGAACACTTGGGGGCTGTCGACAGGCATGCTAGTACGAAGCCACAAGTCAGCGTGAGAGTGCTGGTCTTGTTCAAATTGTTGATCCCACTAGATAACACGCTCTCTCCCAGAAACTGTAACTAAGGTCTGCTCAGCATAGTTGCAGATGGCGATATAAATTAATATTTTAGAAGTGTGTTTATAGTTGGTAATAATGTTCTTATTAAGTTTTCAATCTATTTTCTTCTTTAGGAATCTTATTTTTTTTTAATTAGGTTGGAATTAATGAAATTAAAGTTATGTTCAGCATCGGTATACCTGTCGAATTCCCATCGATATTTGACCTGCATTTGATCTTTAACTAATACACACACACACACACACACACACACACACACACACACACACACACACACACACACACACACACATATATATATATATATATATATATATATATATATATATATATATATATGTATGTATGTATGTATGTATGTATTTTCAATATATCTGCTGTTTCCTTTTTGCATTCCTTTCTCGATGTTTTCACACTGATGGTTGATCCAACATTCTTTGGCTACTCTCGTCTGCTTGCGTAATTGGCTGTTGCTTTTATTAGTATTCAGCGGCACTTTCAGGGTTGGAGTTTTTAATCTTCTTCAAGGTTTGAGCTTGTCGTAGAGGTCAAGGATATCATTAGAAATCCATGGCTGATGTTGCTCCCCCTGGTGTCTTAGTACTACCTCTGCTGTTTCGCGAACTTCCGCATTGAAGTTGTTGGTGAGGTCGTTTATGTCCCTGTCCAGGCGGTTAAATACCGCAAATCTGCCTCCGAGTTGTACCGGAAAAAATTCATTCACTTTAGGATGTTTTAATTTTTCAAGATCAAACATGGATGCGCAGCTTGAAATTTCCTCTTCAGGCTGACCTTCATTATCTGCAGCACCAGATTGTGATCAATGCCTATATCCGCTTCAGGAAAGGTTCTTGTCTTCGCTTTGTTGATGCTTGACTTAACGCGCCTTGGAGTCAAAATGAAATCAGTTTGGTTGTGTGTTTTCCTCTTCAGAACATGCCATGTTGTTTATTTCGACAGTTTGTGAGGGTAAAGGGTTTTAGAGATGCGAGCCTCTGGTTATTTACAAACTCCAAAAGGCAAAGTCCGCTAATTAATGATAGTTTAAGTGATGCATTGGCCAACTGTTCCGGCCCAGTTTTCATAGGCCTCAGGGCCAACTTCGGCACTGAAGTCCTCTTGAACAATGAGGATGTCTTTATTCAGAACATTCCTGATGGTATTTTCTAGTTCCCCATTCTTTCACTTTTTGGTCTTCGTAGTCAGTGGTTGGTGCATACACTTGAACGATAGTGATGTTCGTTGGTTTGGCTGACACGCTGATGGTAATGATCCGGTTGGATACTGGTATGCAGCTCAGGAGGAAGCCAATGACTTTTTTTTGCGTAAAATGAAAGCTACTCCATGTTCAAATCGCGACTCATGTCCGCTGTACCACATCTTATATCCGTCCTTAGTGACTGTCTCCCCGAAACCAGTCCATCTCACCTCTGCTAATACTATCACATGCCACTGGTAACGTTTTCTTTCGTATTCAAGTTCTAACACTTTACCGCAGGAATAGAGTGTGCGGACATTCCATATACCAATGGTAAACTTCTCAGATGGCAGCTTGTAGGTGTTTTTTGCTCAAGTAGCTTGCTTATCGCCTCCACCCTGGTGCTTATCAGTGGAGAACATGGTCGTTATTGACACGGGCCTCAACCGATCTGGTATAATGCCGGCTGTGATTGGGTCTCCCATGTCTTTTCTGCGGGCTTAGGATATTCCATGGTGGCACCAATTCCCTCTCCAAGTCTCCCACTGATGAGTAAGAACACACCAGCTCCTCACAACTTTTCGCCCGCAAGCAGAAGTGGTTACTATAAACCGTGTACCTTTAGAACTTTGGCTTGCATTCTTTCTTTTAGGCTATATATTTCTTTCTTTCTTTCTGATATGTCCCGGAAATGGATATATTTGATCGAAGTAGCTACGTGGGTTTGGCTACTATAACCAAGTAGTACACGGTAGCAGTAATCGAATGGTACTCGTCGTAGTCGTAGGTAATGGGTGTAGACCAATAGAATAGCCAATGGCGTAGTCCAATGGGCGTCGTCAAAGACTTAAACAGTGTCGTACCTACACGTCCGTCTGTATTTATGACGGACACCAGCCAATCATATTCCAGTAAGGGGGAACTCAGGTGTATGCCTATTCCATTATATCACTTTCTTTCTTTCTTTTCTTTCTTTCTTTCCCGTAGTTTATATCCTTTTTTTTTTTTACAGCGAGGTTCACTCTTTACAAGGCCACTCGATTTAGAGTGTTATGTCTGGAGGCCATTTGTGTGTATTTGAGTGAAAGTTAACACTAGCCTTGAACAGATTAAGATTGTAGTGATTGGGGAAACACCAAATTTCAAGTCGGTTCCACATAACAGTGATTTGCGGGAGGAAGCTGCTCGTGTGGGACTAATTTCTCACCGATGGAATACGGAGAGAATGTGGGTGTTTTGCTACTATGTCAGTGTCATGGCGTGTTCTTGCTGATAAGGTCTGCTTTGGCGGGACCAGGGAATGAGCACTTTCCGTTGAAGAAGCAGCAGCGCAAAGAGAGGCTTGCCATATCCCGACCGTAAGAGAGAGGTTGAAGGGTTGAGAATAATTCGTCACCCACAAGGGCTCGGAGACGCTTTTGAACTCTATCAAGGCTGGAGAGTGAGGTTTGGGTACCCCCCCGCCTAAATATGACAACAGTACTTCATTTTTGGACTGATCTGGCTCTTTTAAAGTTAGACGATATCAGGAGGAGTCAGGTACTTGTTGGAGCGGTACAGGGAACCGACCCTTTTACCTGCATCCTTAGCAACAGATCGTTCCACTTCAGGTCGGATGTGAATTTGAGGCCCAATAGTCTTTCAAGCCACGGTGCTTCCCTGAGAGGACCCCGTTCATCCCGATTGGCAGTAGTTCGGGGTCAGATCGCCGATGATGGAATGTAACTATCTTGGTCTTCATGGTATTGAATTTAACCAGCCAGTTTTTACTCCATTAAGTAGTTTGTGCAAGATCGGGAGAAAGATCAGTCGCCAATCTCTGACTATCGAGAGTTTTAGAGTTGCGCCCTGATATTGTCCTACCATTGGCATAGATGTTTACAAATGATCTAAGTATATTCTTATCAGATCATTTATGTAGATTAAAAAGGGGGTTGTTCCGAGGTGTAACCCCTTGGGGGACGCCGGCGTTGACCTCTAGTGCTCTACTTCCAGGGACTTACCTGTAACGAAGAGTCTTCCAGCGATTCCATAACTGGAGAGCTTGTGTAATACGCCTTTGTGCCACACTTTGTCGAAGGTCTTTGATATATCCAGTGTTATGGTTCTTCTTTCCTTTTCTTTTTTTTTTCTTTCTTTTTTTACTCGCTTTACCTTTCTTTCTTTTAGGTTATATATTTATTTTTTATCTTTTCCTTAGTGTATATCCTCCTTTCCTTTTAATATTTTTTTTCTTTCTTTCTTTCTTTCTTTCCCTTAGTTTTTATCCTCCTTCCTTTTACGGTTCTTTCTTTATTTTATTTTTTCTCATAATTTCTTTCTTTTTAGTTTATATATTTCATTAATTTTACTCTCTTTCTCTCCTTATTTCTTTCTCTTGTGACATTGGTGGCCGTTAATAATTAACAGTATTTAATTACAATCTTAAATAATTACTTAACAAGAACAAAGAAGTAAAAGTCAACCAAAAATACAAAACAAGCTTGCTAACCATTACACCACGCCGAGGTGCCCATTAATGATTTTCCAAGCGTAGCTTAAATGCGGTACAAGACCGAAAGTATGGGGGTACCCAGTTAGGATCGAACTCACTACTCATTCGTAATTGTGTTAGCGAGGCAAGCTTGCTAGCCATTACACCACTTCGGGCTGCCTTTTCTTTTTTTCATCTTTCTTTTTTGGGAACTTTGTCGTGGTGTAATGTTTAGCTAGATTAATTGCGACTGAGTAGTGAATTCGATCCTCACTGGGTGCTCCACACTTTAGGCTTTGTGTGACATCTAAGCTGCGCTTAGAAAAATCATTTGGGCACCATGATGTGGTGTAATGTTTAGCAAGCTCGTCTCGCTAGAACAGTTACGACTGTATAGTGAGTTCGATCTTCTCTGGGCGCTCCATACTTTCTACCTTGTACCACATCTAAGCTATGCTTAGAAAATCATTTGCCGCAATAGATATGTATATCAGTTTTCTTTCTTTAACTTTATTCTTGTCTTTTTCTTTATTTTAGAGTATATATCTCCTTTTCTCTTTCTTTTTTTAAAATTGTATCTCTCTTTCATTCTTTCACAATTTCTGTTTTCGTTTTTCACAATTTTCTATTTTCTTTCTTTCGATCTTATAGTACCAGGCATAACCCCACTAACTTATTCAAATCATAATGCACATAAATTATTCTATTTACTCCCATTTATTCATCTAAGCCTATTGCGCTTAAATTACGGTGTGCGTTCAACGATGCGATAAATATGGCGCCCAGAAGAATACTACTTCATCGACGCACACTCAACGTCTACATTAGTGACTACAGCTCAAGAAATATTAATATTCGTAATATCCACCAATGGGGGCTTCATACGTATTTCCTTTATGAATTCTCCGATCCAATCATGCGAAAGAACTCATCAATAAGTAATTGCTTAAAGTGTATTAAAGGCGAGATCATATTAAACTAATGTTCTTTTCATGTGTTCTGCGGGAGGAACAATATATTGCCTTTAGTTAATTTGTTTATGATCGCCAATAAGTTTCACAGATAATCTGGAGCATCTAATTTAAGATACATCAGGAAAGACCCGGTTGATATACATTATATTTGAAGATGAACGAATCATTATGTAAATCAAGAAACGTCTTTGAAATTGCCCGAAAATGTAATGAGAGATGATTAAAATTTGGGAACATGTTCAAATGATATGTGCCGTATATACTCGCATATCATGCGATTTTTGAAGGCCTAATTTTGAAGCTAATTTCAAGTGCGTCGCATCATCTTTCTTCTTTCTATGTGTCGTGTCCTTTCAGGACGTAGGCGATCATGGCTCTCCACCTCCTTCTTTCCCTTTCAGCTCTCAACAAGTTCCTTCACTCTGCTTCCTCCCCCAGACAGCGTTCTGTCATCCACTTGCTTAAGGCCGTTAGGTTTGTCATGCATTGTTTTCCCTTGTCTCTCTTTCCCTCTATTCGACCCGTGAGTATCAGATTCTCCAGGCCCTTCTTCCTCATTATGTGTCCCAGGAACTTCATCTGCCTCTTCCTCATGTCAAGTATAAGTCTCCTTCTTGTTTGCAACCTTTCTAAGACTTCATCGTTGCTCACATACTCGGTCCAAGGTATCCTCATCATCCTTCGGTAGAACCCCATATCTGTCGCCTCGAGTCCCTTCTTCATCTTTGGGGAAATCGTCCAACATTCGCTGTCGTAAAGAAGGACAGATGTCACGTAACAGCTCAGTATTCTTTTCTTTGTTACCAAAGAAATCCTCCTGTCTCGCAATACTCTGCACGGCTTTTGGAATGCGTCCTTGGCCATCCCAATACGTCTACGGATCTCAGCGTCGCATTTATCGCTCTCTGTCAGAACGCTTCCCAGATATTCAAACTTCTGCGTCTGCTTTATTCTAGTGTTCCTGACTTGCAAGTCACATATCGGGCCCATCCTTTTACTGATGACCCTGCACGCTGTTTTCTTGTAGCTGCATCATACACGAGATATAAAATGAGCGTATGTACAGCTGTCTCATACATTATTTTTCATCTCGTGTATAATGCGACCCCTTTAAAATTAGCTTAAAGATTATGTCCCCTCTCCAAGTTCTCCACCGCCTTAACCAGGTATTGAACTCACACACTTTATCTCCTGTCACTGGATATAACTAACGATTTTATCCACTGTAACATGCGTCCTCGAGGACATCTTTTCATGAATTTCTGGGTATCATAAACCTAATGTCTTCAGCAACCATTTTTACCAGTGCTCATATTGCAATTTTTGCTGTTATCATTGCATGTTTTACCAGGGCTCATATTGCAATTTTCGTTGTTATTATTGCTTTTCTCTGGCACTCCTTATTACTGGTTCCCTTATTGTATTCATTTCTATGCTTGGTCGGCTCAAGAGATTTTTGTGGCCTAGCATATGTGTTGATTCCTTAAGTTTACGAATTTTCCAATGGGGTTCTTTTTCTATGATTTTAACCTGATCCCACAGAGGGTGGCGATCTCTCTTTTCTCTCCATATGTGATCAGCCACGCCTGATTTTTTCCACTTCCTCTTTCTAGTGTTCTTAAAGTCTTACCTTAAAAGGGCAGCCTGTCTCCCCTTTATATTAATCCGCGGCTGCACTGGATGACGTACGCACAGTCATTAGTCATGTTCTCCTCTATGGGGAGGGGGCTTAATCGGGAGAGATATCTGCGAAGTGTTGTCCAGCTTTTGAAGGTTGTCCTGAGGTTATATGGACCGCAGACCCTTTGTATTTTCTTCGATAATCCCTTCACATACGGCAAGCAGACTGTTTCCGGGGTGTTTTTGTCCTCCTCTTCTTTCCGTAGCTATCACCGCAGTTAAACAACGCCGAGCTTTAGTCAGTACCTATATGGGTGAACGCTTACGAATACCAGGTGCTGTAAGCTTGGATGTTCGGGTGGTGTAATGGATAATGGCTCGCAATTTGAAATCGGGAAGCCGAGTTCCAATTCCAGTCGGGTTTGTTATATTATATTCACTTATTACTTGCATTATTTATATTATTCGGACTGTTATCCTCATCTTTATTGCCATATTCACAACGTTTAACAGTCCATAAATGTAACTAATGCAAGTAATAATACTTCATCTCAGAGATATAGAAAGATATATTCACTTATGCCCAAAAACCCTTGGGAAAGGTATGAATCCACCTATTCTCCCCCTATCTATTGGCTAATTAGTCAGAATGGTAACAGTAAATCATTATTATCTCTAAAAAAATTCTTACAATTTAAATATATTTTCTGGCTTTTAATAACCTACAAAAGGTTGGTAAACAGTAAAAAACAACAACAAATCAATCACTCTTTCCATAGATTGGGGCATATGTACATTTATAGAAAATATCATAGGTGTATATAGTTCACCATTTAATTAAAAATGCGTTTTGCTGCACGAATTGAACTTCCTCCTTACCAATGGAATACGAATGGAATCAGAATAATTCGTCCGTGTGTGTAGCGAGTTTTATCTGTCAAAGTTTTGTCTACTTATTTTTAATCAGATCCTCTCATAATTACAGTCCAGTTTCTTAATATCCTTATTAATTATATTGCGCAAAAGTTTAAAAATATTTACAGTATATAGTTTAAAATATCTAAGTTTTAACTAATAATTCTAAATAGTTATTTAGACATTACATTAACTTAGTTATCTCCCTTGACATTTGCACGCGTGCGTACATGATAAAATTTAAAATTGTACAGTACATAACCTTAGTGTTTTCACTTCACACGTAAAAAAATATTTTTCAGACGAACATAACAATTTTATCTTAGAAAAATGATGAAAAAAATAATTTTTTGTCTTAAAATAAGACGTTGATGACGACATTGTACTAATATCGAAAGTGCTCGGAATAAAATGAATATGTATCAACGAGATAATTTTCTTTCTTCCTTTAATAAGGATACTAAGAAACGTGTCTGTAATTACGAGAGGATCCTATTTTTCAAAAACAAATATTGAATTTCGATTGGTGGATCATCGTTTGTGTAAAAGAGTCAGTACGTGTGTTCATGTTTCATAGTACGAAAGGTGGATCCAAAAGATAGTTAGAATATAAGTCTTACTGTGAAATGTATCGCCATTGTTAGGGGAGGTCCCTTTGTAGTTTTCAGCGCAATAGATTTTTGCGTGGTGGACGTGAATGAGGTCTTTACTTCTATACCTCCCAGGCCAAAATTTTGCACACTGCCCCTCAATTGTTATACACAGAAAACGTTATAAATAAAAAAAATATCCCTTTCTTTAGAAATTGCTTTGTTTACTTTAGGATACGCAACAGAGCAGTTATGTCTATTTAAAAATTCAGAGAAAAATCTGTGTTTATAGGTACTCTTCAACTTTGATGGTTCATCGACGCGCTCCATAGCCGAGAGATCAAAGCACGTCAGATCTAAGGACGGTTCCTCTAAAGAAATGAAGGTTCGAATCCTGCCGGAGAGCGCATATTTTTCACTAACAAGATTTCCCGAACATTAAAGCAGGTAGACGAAAATAAACAAATATACAGTTTAATAAATAAACGGAGCGTCTATTCAAATACGAATCTCCACTAAAAATAATGTTTAATTAATATACGTATGTTTTTGTGTTTGAATTTAAGTGGTTGTGTGGAAATTGACCCCATTTTCCGGAGTCTTATGGTGAGTAGATTCTCTGGGTGAACAAATAGAAACTTTTGTTATTGACTTAGCATTCAAGATGGAATCGCAGATACTAATGCCCTAATCCATGACCTCTAACAGCAAATACAGTAGTTGTTTCTAATGGTAATGGAATTCGTGACTTGCAATAAATACCTGAATAGTTAGTCATAGGATAGAGTGAAATGAAGACAATAGTATATTTTACAAGACTGTTTGGGTGGGACGTAAGAAGTGTCATGGCAGCCTGGGCACCAGAACGAACAATAGGGACTTCATACCGGCTGGTGTATCAATTTGTCATTTCTTGGGGTTCACTATTGCTCGTACACTAGAATATAAAGGGCTACACCCTTAACAAGGAATAATCATTACTGTTCTTTTTAGTTGGAATGTGTATTGGATTGTATTATTGGCTTGTTTTTCATGCTATTTGGGGATAATGGCTGTACGAATGGAGGACAAGTCAAAAAGTAACAAATGCATATACGATGTCTTCTATTTCTTTCTTTCTTTCTTTCTTTATTTTACTAATGGCTTGTTTCTTTTTTTCTTTCTTTTAATGATGTCTTACGTTTCTTTCTTTCTTTCTTTTACTATTGTTTTATGTTTGTTTGTTTGCTTGATTCTTTCTTTCTTTTACTAATGTCTTGTTTCTTTCTTTCTTTTTGTCTTTTATTAATATCTCCTGTTTCTTTCTTTCTTTTTTCTTTCTTTTACTAATGTCTTCCCTTTCTTTCTTTCTTTCTTTCTTTCTTTATTCGTTTATTTATTTTAATATCTTCTGCTTCTTTCTTTCTTTTTCCATTTAATTTTTCCTTTTGACTTCTCCTTTGTTTTCCTTTATTTCATTCTTCTACCTTTCACTGCATTTTTGTATTTTTCTTTCTTTCTTTCTTTCTTTCTTTCTTTCTTTCTTTCTTTCTTTCTTTCTTTCTTTCTCCTGCCTTTTGTTTTGTTTTTCGTCCTTGCTATTTGTTACT